GTGACCACAGCTCTAATTATAAAAACCATTACATAAAATTTGTGTGGGTGGAGGAGCACTCAGTGCTTTGTAAATAAGTATTATATTCCTGTTGAAGTTTCTTTTTTAAAAAAGCATGGGAGGACAAAAACAGTAACTATATTCTAAAAGAGTTCAAACCAAATAAGATGTCTTCATGAGGCAACACTGCATTCTCATTCAATGTTAAGTTTCATCGAACCGATCTTAGTAATTAAACTGAAGAGTTTAGTAACAGAGTCTTAAAATAACTGGGTTCGTCCTTCACAGTTAAGTCTCTGTGGATGGAAATATTTTGGACATTGGTGGAACATGGAAGTAACAGAAATTATTAGCAGCAGCTTGGGTGGAGCTCAGGGATTTGGAGATCATGACATTGGACCAACAGCATGCAGATGATAGATGAAACACTGAGCATTAATGCAGAAACTCTACAGCTGCCCTCTGATAATAATGAAGATAGTTTTTTTTTTCAATCTCACAGTAAGACCAAATATTAGAATGCAGTGATGATTTGCAAGGCCATTTAAGTTTTGAAAAATAATGACTGGCAGGGAAAAAAACTGAGGGAAGAGTAAAAGATGGCTTCTTTTTGACACAATCTTGCTGCTTTTTCTTTTGCTGGATGTGACAGTCCTTTGATCTATCTGCCCCCAACTTCTTCAGTTCAAGTTTTTCCTCCAAAGACGTTAAGGAAAATGGACTGTACTTATATTGTGCTTTTCTATCATCCAGGATACACAAAGTGCTTCACACTACAATCTGTGTCCTCATTTACCCATTCACACAGCACTCTATTATGTCTCTACAAAGCTAACATGTACAATCATATATGGAGACTAATCAGTGCCAGTTACATTCATACACTGATGGGACACACATCAGAGGCATTAGGGGTGAAGTTCCTTGCCCAAGGACACAACAATTGAGACAGCTGGAACAGGGGATTGAACCGGTGACCTTCCAGTTCCAGGATGACTCCCCTAACCACTCTGCCACAGCCGCCCCGAAGTTAAATATGGGAAGTTAAATAATCCACTATATTTACATAAATCTTGCTCACCATTGTACTCAGTCCTGTTTGTAGTATTTGTAGACAGAATCTCAAGGTGGGCGTCTGGTTCAGGAACCACAGGGTCTTGTCTCTGCTTCATGCAGATGATGTGGTTTTGTTGGCGTCTTTGGGCCAAGACCTTCAGCGTGCACTGTGGCGGTCGAATGCCAAGCGTGAAGGGGCTGGGATTGGGGTCAGTTCCTTTAAGTCTGAGGCCATGGTTCTTGACCAGAAAGAATGGAATGCACCCCCCC